TATATATATATATATAGGCAAAAGGCATAAATTGCCCCCTAAATTTGTATTCAAAAGTCACTTACACGCTTTAACTAATGGAGCGACCTATTACACACCTAAAGTACATAAAAATATATTTAACTACCCCTTCCATCACCCAAACCAGGACATTATGCATCGTGTGAGAACCACACGTCTCCTAGTGAAGCCACGTAATAAAAGACCCTAACCCCATTCATTTTACCCAAACCCGTTTCCTTTGACCCAAGCCCTTTTATTTCACCCAAATCCATTTTATTTTACCCTAGGTGGTCCATGTATTTCATCCACCTCTTTTCTTTCTCGAGGAACACCAAAACCTAATCGTAAATCTCGTATGTAAATCCTACTTTTAGCTAAAGATTTGTTCGATTATGTAATGTTTTTGAAGCATCCTTGTATTTTTAATAATCTAATCAAGTTTTCTCTCTCATTAGAACAACGTTGGTGTTTTGTCGATCGAGGTGTTCAACGTTTGGTGAAAGCAAATTGGTAGTTACTAGGGTTTGGTGAGTTCCATCAAGGCGTTCATCGTCATACATTGTTGTGGTCTCTATCTCTGAAAGGTCAGTCATACATCTCTAGGGTTACTTTATAGTTCCTACTTTTTATCTTTGGATTTGGTAGTCTTTAGTTTTTTTTTCAATTTTACTGTATGTCGTCTTTCATTCACATGATTCCCCTTTTTTTGTTGTATGGATTTGTTGTTTTAGGTGTTTTTTCGTCCTTGTTGAGGTTCAACTGTAAAAGGTCTTTATGAATTTCATCTTCAACATTATTCAGATTAAATGTCTTTTAAATTGATTACTCTGCGATTTTACAACGGTGGTGTTACGAAAATTGGAGAAAAGGAATACAAGGGGAAGCCATATCATGGTGGAGGATTTTATGAGTTTTTAAATTTTGATGTAGATAGGGTATCTTATTTTTAATTGAGGGATTGTTTGAAAGAGTTGGGGTATTAACCTGGACAACTTGTGTTGTATGTGAAACTTCCTAGAAGTACTGTTGTCTTAGAAATAAAATCCGACTATGATACTGCTTTGATTGATGAGTGTGTAAGTCATGGAGATATTTTGGAGTGTTTTGTGTGTCACTTTGTTGCTGAATCAATTTTGGTTCCACCTTCATTGGAATATGGAGAAAGTGTAGTTGGTGAGGGAGCATCATAAAACACTGGGCCTAATGCATCTTTTCATGCTGAATTAGAACCAACACTTCAGAACCAAGAAAATGCCTAAACCCTGCCCCTTTCTTTGCCCCTGCACATGTCCCTGCTCCTACACAATGCTAATCTAAATACATCTTCTCCTGTACGCTCTTTCACCGCTCCAAATACTCCTCTTGTTCATCTAACTTCAACCCTAATCCATCCTTCTACTTATTCAACCTTTGACCGTGTCCATCCTTTCTGTGATTCGATTTTTGATCCTATTCATTCTTTTAATGACCAAGATTCAGATAGAGAATCATTACATGAGGGGAGGAGGGAATTAATGGGAGTGATGTAGATGATGAGATAAGAAGCTTTAGGGAGGAAAACAATAAAAAAAAGAAAAAGAGGAGAAAGAGCACCATTGCATCTTGATCATATCAAGTTAGGAACAGGGGAAAAAAGGCTAGATGTTGGGTATGATGAATCTACAGGTGGTAATAGAAACAGTTTAGAAGGCAAGTAAGCTGGTGATGACCCTTATTATCCCTCAGATTAAGCTACTAATTTTGAAACAGATCCAGATGCTTTTAGTGATGATGTGTGGGGGGGGGGAGGTTCAACAAAGAGAGAGAGAGAGAGAGAGAGAGAGTTAAGCCAAAAAGGAGAAATAAGGTGAATACAATTGTATTTGATACATCTTCACAGAAAATAGTTTGGGAATTGGGTCTTGTATTTGAAAGTGTTAATAAATTTAGATCTGCTGTTACCAAATATGTTGTTGTTGAACGTGTTGCAATTGAAATGCATATTAATGAACCAACAAGGGTAAGGGTTATGTGTACAAATGGTTGTCCTTGGGTTTTATTTGCTAGCTTTGATTCTAGGACAAACAATTTTGTTGTAAAAACATACAATCTAATTCACAAATGTGATCCTGCTAATAGGAACAAGTTTTGTAATAGCAATTTCTTATGTAGTCACTATAGTGAAAGGATAAAGGAACAACCTGACGTTTGAATCTTTGAGCTTCAAGGGCTTATCACGAAAGAATTGGATTTATATGTTGGAAGAACAATGTGCAGGAGAGCAAAAAGCACTGTATTACAAGATCTAATGGGTGGCCATGTTCTTGAGTTTGGGAGGATTTTGGACTACAAAGATAAGTTGCTAAGAACTAATCCAGGTAGTACATTTGTAGTCAAGCTTCTTGAGAATACATTTGAAAATGATAGAAAAATGTTTCAAGGCTTGTACATATGTTTTGATGCAATGAAAAAGTCTTTCTTGGCCGGGTGTAGGAAGTGCATTGGTTTGGATGGTTGTTTTCTAAAGAGAATATTTAGAGGTCAATTATTGGTTGTTGTATGTAAGGATGAGAACAATTCTACCACTGGCTTGGGTAGTAGTTGAAGTCGAAAATAAGTTTACTTGGGCTTGGTTTGTCAAATTTATAAAAGAAGATCTTCAGTTGGGAGATGGTACATACATCACACTCATATCAGATATGCAAAAGGTTAGAACATTATTTATTTTTTGATTTATTTCATGTCTTGTATTTCATGCCTTTGTTTATGGATGTACCAGTTTCTTAATTTGATGACTTGAATTTTCTTATATAGGGTCTTGAAATTGACATACTTGATCATTTGCAAATGTTGAGCATAGAATGTGTGATAGACACGTTCTTGCTAATTGGTCACAGAGATGGAGAGGTATTGAGAGAAAGAAATGTTTCTGGAGGTGTGCAAGGTTTACTTTTGAGGCTGAGTTAAAAGATAACATTAACTACATGAAAAAGTTAGGTAATAACATAGTTGATCACTTGTATTATAATCCCAAAAGATGGAGCAAGCTTTACTTCAGTTTTACCTCAAAATATGATGTTGTAGTCAATAACATTACTGAATGTTTCAACTCATGGATATTAGAAGCAAGGCATAAGACTATAATTACAATGCATAAAGAAATTCGAGTGAAAATGATGAAAAGAATAGGGCAGATGAGAGAGTTTTGCAATACTTGGATATGTGACATTTCTCTAATGGCAATGAAGGTTCTACAAGAAAACACATCTAAGTTTAATAAATGCAGCATGAATGGAATTCAGATTCAGTGTATGAGTTACTTCATGGACAATACAAATATGTTGTAGATATTCAAAGGCAAACATGTAGTTGTAGAGCTTGGATGTTGAAAGGCATGCCATGTCCTCATGTAATATCTGCTGTTCACCATAGAAAATTGGATCCAATCAATTACATTTCTCACTGGTATAACAAAGAAACATGCATGAAGATATACAACTAATTCATTCAGCCAGTTATGAGTTTAATAATGTGGCCAGAATCACAACATCTCTGTGATACCACCTCATGTTAGAAAGATGCTAGGAAACTTGGCAAGAAAAGGAAGAAAGAGCAAGGTGAAACTAGTAAAATTGGAAAATTATCCAAAAGAGTAACTGAAATGTCATGAAACACTTGTCATAACAAGGGTCACAACAAAAGAAAGTGTCCTCTTGGTGCACCTGCTTGTGGTTCAAGACATGCTGCTGGACCAACTGTTGTACCTGATGCTAGTTCAAGTTCAAGACCTCCCACTAGCTCCGCTGCTAGACCAAGTTCAAGACCTCCTTCTGAGCCCTACTTCTACACCAACATCAACACAGACTGCTGGCCCAAGAGCAACACCTGATGTTGCATTAAGAACAACACCTAATGCTCCAACTAGAAGAGGGAGTGGAAGACCAAGAGGTTCAACAGAAAATGTGATATAGTTTCCTTTATTTACTTAATTTATATCCTTTAAATAAATTTTTATACTGAATATTTTGTTGTATTTTAGAATTGTTTTACTAGAAAAAGAAGAATGGTTGAAATGGGTGTACTACACACACAAGGTGGTGCTACTATTATTAATATAAGTTTTTTCTATTTGTGTACTTAAATATCATTGTATTTATTATTTTTTATTTAATCACAAATTAAGATTATCAATATTCATTTGAACAGCCCGAAATGCCTAGTGAAAGATTTAGAAATGTGAAGTCTTCAGTAGTTATCACTGGAGATCTTGGGCATATACCAACATGTGGTGTGCAATGGAAGGGTAAACAAGTTATGACGTCAAGCCAACTTGAACAGATGAGGGGAAGAAAACAAGTAGAGACTAGGTCTAAGGTTGCACATTTGAGTCAAGAAAGCTCTAATGCTATCTAAATTGTTTTGGTAGATTTTTGTTGGTAATGCAATGTTGATATTATGTTTTGTTGGTTGATATATAATCCACTTTAGGGATCTCATCCACTTTATTTCTATTTAGTTCCCTTGTATTTAAGATAATGAATTTGCAGTTGTGACTACATTTTATTTTGTGGTGTTTGGTTATGTAATTGTTTTGGCAACTATTTTGATTAATGATTATGCAGTTATGGATCACAATTTATGTAGCAATATTGGTTCTTTTTTAGTTGATGATTTATGTGTATATATAGACACTAAATATATAGAAGATAGGGGATCCCAAGATACAAAACAAAATAAGATAGGGGAAGCCTTGCAAATTCTTCATTACACAAATGCAACTTCATTACACAAGCAAATTCAAATGTAACATCATTTCATTACACAAGAAAATTCAACTAACATCATTTCATTACACAAAAAGCCTTACAAGTTTAACACAATATTGCAAATTTTTGGTACAAGAAAAGATTATGGCAATCTCCTTGAATCTACTTCTCTGTTTAGAAACAATAGTCTTTGAAATACTGACTTACACCTAAAATACAAACATAAAAAAAAACAATCAAAGTTGTTTCTCCCTTTTTTTGAACTTGGCCTATTTGTTTTTCCATTTTTTTCAACTGCTTTCATCTTCTTCAAATTATCATCGAAATTGTCCATTTCTAACTCTATCTTGTTCATACCTAATCTGCTTTCCATATATTTGGTTGATTTAGTAGGCATGTTGACTTCCTTAGTAGAAGTTTCAACTTTTTCAGAAGATTCAACAATATGTTCAAGCTCAACAATTCTTCCCAACAACTTAAGAGTCACAAATTTGGATCTTTGATCAATATAATCATCCTTCCAAAGTCAAAAATCGCATGATCTAGCATTCTTAAATAAAAAATGAATCAGTTTATGGCTCTTGAAACAACAAAATGAATCATATTACTCTTAAAAAAGATTAACTTACCCCATAGTAAGGACAACCCCAATATTTTCTACCAGGATTTCTTTGGGTCCAAAAGGTTAGCAAAGGCAAACAAATTCATGTTTGCATCGCACCTCTTCCAATTTAAGATCTTCCTTTTGCAAACAGAGCCTACTAAAACTTTTTTGAGCCATTGTGGCACCTTAATAAAAATTACAACGAATGAAACAACTAAAATAGATAGAAACAAATCAAAACGAAAAAAGAGAGGAATAAATCAAATGGAAAAGAAATGAATGAATAATAGTGAAAAAGAGTTACCTTTGATTCAAAAGAAGGAATTTTGAGTTATGTTTGAATTAAATTTGGGGTACAGATTTTTGGGTAAAAAATTAGGGTTCTTCTTCATTAGAGACGGGTAGGTGGGTTATAAGAAGGGAATGAGAATATAACCGCTGGGTTGGATTTTCTTTATTTAAAAAATAAATAAAAATGAATTTAGTAGCGTGTTGACGCGCTCAACTATGTGGAGCAAAACGGGCCCTGGTTTGGGTGACGGATGGGGGAATTAAATATATTTTTATATGTTTTAGGTGTGTAATAGTTCTCTCTATTAGTTAAAGCGTGTAAGTGACTTTTGGATACAAGTTTAGAGGGCAATTTATGCCTTTTTCATATATATATATATATATATATATATATATATATATATATACACACACACACACACACACACACACACACATATATATATATATATACTAC